CCGTGACCCCGAGTTCATTTTATAATATTTCTCGAGGTTCTCGAGGTGCTCGAGCGAGGTGGATCCTTTCTTTGTTTGGCCGCGTTGGGTAGCTACCCAACGCCCCACGTGCAGCCGCGTATCTTAGCTAAGGCTCGCGCCCTGACGTGTATGTGCTCACTCCGAAATAGGTGTGGCGTGGTGCTGGGCACGGTACTACATGGCGACGCGGGGCGGCGGCGCGGCGCGGCGGCGGGCGACGCAGGGCGGGGCGGCGCGACCACCTGCACTGACCTGGTCTCTGGCCATTGAAGCGGTGCAGTGGTCGCGTCGCCCATGTCCGGACCAACACCCCGACCGGCGAAGACGGAATCTACTCCGTGCCGGCGGCCCCGTCGGTGGCGGCGTCGATTGGATCGCGTCGCGCCGGCGGGGGTGGTGACCGAGCGGGCAATTGCTGCCTCCGGCGCGGGGTCGCGCCAGCGGGGAACAGGTAAGTCAACCTGGTTTGTGGAGCTCCCACAGATTACCTAGAGAGCACGGCATTCGGGGCCATGATGTCGGTTCCCCACCGCGGCCTTTTTCGTTTTTGTAGTGGAGAGAATTTTGTAGTGGAGAGAATTAAGGAATCTTTCTGCTCTGGCAGGCAGCTGCATCATTCTCCTTTACTTCAATCAGCTGTGTACACTCAAGTGCTATTACTGTCTGTATAGCTGTCTAGACGCTCCGATTCTGCTGTCTGGACGCTGTCCGTGGACACTGTCTGGACGCTGTCTGGACGCTGTCTGGACGCTGTCTGGACGTGGAAGATCGTGTGAGGTGTGATAGACCGCCAGACTGCGGCGAGTCCGCACCGCGCGCACCAGCGACGCGAAGATTCGCTGCCACTGCTGCTGCTGTTGCTTGGGCGGCGAGAAGCGCCGTGTTTGCGGCGTCTGTCGCGGAGGAGGGAGGGCGGTCCGGCGGCGATGTGAAAGGACGGCGTGGCGGCGCCGCAAGCGCGTTCGGTCGCGCGCGCCCCGAGGCCGCCGTCGTGGGTGCAGCGTGCGTGCCTGACTGAACTGCTGGGCTCGCGCTTTGCCCGATGCGCAGCGGCGGGTCGACGTGGCTACTGCCGGCCCGCAGCTTCTTCATCGGCTGCGGCGCGGGGCTCGCGGCTGCAGCATGGAACCCGACCAATGCGTGCCCACGCTTGCTCTGCCCTTTCCGCAGCATCGTTGCGACGTTGGCGTTGCCCCCCACAGTTGCCGCCACAGTTGCCGCTCTGCCCGAGTTCTTCGCGGGCACTTTGGGGGACCCTTCTGTGAAGAGGGCCTGTCTAGACAGCTGTCTCTGTCTAGACAAAACTACAAGTTCAAACTTCAAGTTCTCAAGTTCTCTTAAGTTCTGCTGTCTAGACAGCCCCCCCCCCCCCCCTCAATGGCAAGTAAAGAAAGCGGCATGTGGATGGGTGGGTGGGTGGGTGGGGAGTGGCCTCGGCAGCCCCAGGGGTGCTGTCAGGGGTCGTCCAGCCACCACTACGAGACTTTACTGTGAAGAGTGGAGCCGTGTGCCACTGTCTGGACGCTGTCTGGACGCTGTCTGGACACGCTGTCTGGACGCTGTCTGGACGCTGTCTGGACACTGTCTGGACAAGCTCAGGACTGTCTAGACATCTGTGGGAGCTCCACAAACCAGGTTAGTCAGGCGGCATCGACGCTGAACGGCCACGAAACCCACCCACCACACTGAAAGACCACCGGCCAGTTGACGACACACTCCCAGACGTCGCCGATGAAGTCGGGTAGTAAGTATGGAGGAATGGTAAGGACCTCTCCGGATTGGTTGAACCCCGGCATCGACGGTGGGAAGAGGGAGGAGCCCCCCCCCCCCCCCCCCCTCTATCCCTCAGTTCAATCCCCGAGAGGAGAGGCAGAGCCTCTGGCGCGGTGAGACCACCCGTAAATGTGTTTCGGGGTCCGCCTGCTCCATCACAAAATCCGGACAATCCCGTTTCGCGCGGCTCGTGACGTCCCCCGCGAACCCCGTTTCGCTCGGACGGACGAAACCCATTTTTGCCTAGCGCGCCTTGCGGGAGGGGCGCGCGGAAAAGAGCTCTTAGTTCCACATCGCCGCGGAGCTGCAAGCAGCGCCGGGCGATGACGACTTACCGCCTCCCGGCCCCCCTCGGCACACCTCAGCTCGTGCTTAATGTTTGACGACTCGAACCCCGCATGGCATACAGGCAGGCAGGCGCGGCGTTCGCCAGCCGAAGAGGGCAGCGTCGGCTACAGGCGTAGGTAGGCGACCGGGCGAAGGACTAGCTCAAGGCTAGGCTCAAGGGAAACACGTCGTCACCAGCCGTTGACGCGCAGATCGAGACAGCGCCCCCCGGATGGGAGTGCTCGACGCTGACGAACCGCTGAAACGGGTGACTGACCTTTGTGGGTTACCTTGGAGCACTTGGAGTGCAGTCATTAATCGCACGCCCAGGGCCGGGGAGCTAAGAAGCGCACCCAGTTGGCGGACAATTGGTGTCGGGTTGCGGGCAAGAGAGCCCTAGCCCTGTCTGTGCCTTTCTGGACAGGGTGGCCCGCCAACGACCCCTGGATGGAATTGCGACTCGCCGCTTTCCTCCCGCTGTGATTTGTGTGGGCGCTGTGCCTTGATCTGCTAACAACGAACCTAGTCGCACCCCTGCCCCCGCCCCCGCCCCCGCCCCCGCTCCCAAGCACCCCTTCCCCGGTAGGTGTGCGTAGAAAGTGGAACCAATCGAGAGGTGGCAGAAGCCGCCGTGTGTGACACATATTGCGGCACGTGAGAGTGAGACAGAGCGCCCCGGCAGCGGCCAGCGCGCGCGCAGCGGCCAGCGCAACAGGCGTTTCAAACAGCAAACGGGACGGCCTGCGCGCGCTAACTATTTCTTGAGTCGTCGACCCATGGCTCTACCAGGCGCCGTGGTGGCAGGCTGACAATGCAATGCGGGGACGAGCCAGAATTTTTCGAGCGTGTCCGTCCAGCCGTCCGTGTTTTAAGTTAGAGAGGCTTGCCCTAAAGGCTAAGTCGTCGTACTCCTTCATTACCCTTTTTGGCAAGGAATTTCTTGAGGTGTACCTGTGTTAGTGCCAGTGCGAGCCAGTCCCGTGCCCAGTCCTGTGCCCAGTGTCGTGCGAGGGAGTTTTGTTGTAAAATTCTTGAGTCGTCGACCCAGTCGTTCCCTCAATAAGCTGTGGGCCGCTCCCAGTGGGGTCGTGGTCGAGACCGAGGTGTCGAACTGAGAGCCACTACTGGAGGCTTCCTCCGGCCACCGCTCGACTACCCACGCACATGGCCGGTCCTATGGCTTGCCTGGACTCGCTCAGAAGCCTCAATTCGCGCACACCTTTGCTCTCTGGCTCCCGCGAGTGCGTTCAGGCCACTCAAGCAGGCGACGCCGAGCACCCGCGACGCATCTCGCTGGGGCGCCACCTATCGACCCGACTGATTGGCAGCATCAAAGCCGACCCCATGACGGTCCTTCAGCCCCACGAGGTAGGCAGTTGCGCCCTGATCTCGCTCCAAGACGGCCAACGCCGTGTCCGGCACCTGCTGGCTGCTTCACGGGGATGCCCCCCCCGGACACATGCTGCAGCCCCGAGTGGATATATTGGTCGTTTGTGGGTCCCCCAAGACTACTCTAGTAGGGGCCGGGCGCTTGAGCGTCGGCGGTACACCTGTGCAGATGTTGCACGGGTGAAATGGCTCCTCGTACAGGGTAGGAGGCAGGTGGTGGGTTTGAGTGTCGTGAGTGCTTGCAGCCGCGAGTGCAGCACCGTTTGTGACTCCCATGGATGCAGTTGGGTGGGGCACGGTGCTGGGGGGCGGTCCGGTGCGCCACAACAGCCTCCCTGGCTGACCCCCATCCAGTTCGACACCTCTATCCTGACCGTGGAACCCCAACTTCAACCGGTCATATCTCGAGCGTCACTACGTGCCTCCCCGTCTTTGTAGCCTGGCGTTTGTGCCCCGTTTGTGCCGCGTCCCGTGCCCCCGAGTTCATTCCATATATCTCGGGCGGACTGGCATCTCAGGAGCTCATCCTGGGCGGTTTGGGGAAGTCTTGGGGGTGTACTCGAAGGTGGGAAAAAGAGTTTTGCGCGAGATCTTAACCGGGGGGCAGTCTGAGCACCGTGAAAACAGCGGCCCACAGCTTATCGCCCCGCTCCGCCTCCATTGCTTTCAAGGCCCAACCACCTCTAGCCCCGCCGCTACGCGCCGCCTCAGCCGGCCGCGAGCTGCACGCCGCGGGCCCCGCTCTCCTACGGCTCGCGCAGTCCGCCGCGCCCGCACCACGCCTGTCATGCGGTGCGCCCTCTGTCGCCTCGCTTGTCAGGCTGAGCGCCGCCCTTTGCGCTCCCGCTCGCAGGTGCGGCCACTACCATCGAGGACCTGCGAGACGCATGCGATGCCGCCCACTCACCAGCCTTGCTGCGCGCCAGCCCGATTCCGACGCTCTGCCCTCTCTCCCAGCAAGAGAGCGAACCAGTCCCATGGGGTTATCGGGAGCCTTTTCCTGCCGGGAGGGGTGCTGGGGAGTTTGTTAGTTGAGAGGTGAGTTGATTGTTTCACCTTGATTGTTAGGTAACAACATGGCTGCGTTACACCATCTGGCGCTGCTCTGTCTCCACGGGGTGGCTGCGCTGCCGGCGGACATCCTTTGGAGCGTTTCGGCGCCCCTCGCGATGAACGGGCTGCCGCTCGTCCTCGTCGCCGTCGCCGTCGTCGCTGCCGCCGTCGCTGCGCTGCTGCGCCGCAAGTCAAAGTCTACTCACGCGTACGCACCCTCGCCACCGCCGTCGCCGCCCGAACCAACCGTCGTGCCCGAACCCGAACCGCCGGTGCGGCGCGGTGGCTCTTTCCTGGATCTGAACGTTCTGAGCTGCGCTGGGCCTGGGAAGCCCGGCCCGCGCGGCCCGAAAGGAGAGCAGGGTTCTCCCGGCCAAGATGGCCAAGACGGCCACGACGGCCCGCCGGGGCCTCCCGGCCCCAGGCCGCCCCTGGCGATGATGCTCGCAATCTGCAACGCAATTACCGCCTCCTCCGTGCTGTCTGTTGTGGCCGTCGTGCTGTCGATCGTGGCCATCACCCGTTCGCCGACTCCTCCGCCGCCGCCACTGCCTCCGTTTCTTTCGCCTCGTCCGCCTCCGCCGCCTCCGCCGCCGCCTCCGTTTCTGTCGCCGCCGCAACCGTTACTGCCGCCGTCGCCGTCCGCACCTGCACCAACGGTTCCGCCTTGCGATCTGCTGAACCCGAAGTCAAACCTCAAGTGGGAGGAAGCCACAGTGACCGGCTCCGTGCCTCTGCTGCGAGGCCTTCTGACCGTGCCCTTGGATCCGGCGCCAGAGTCCGAGGAAGTGACACCGATGATTGAGCTCGAGGTCTGGGCGTCCAGGCCGACTACCGCGGAGGAGGCTGCACGGGAGCCGCTCCTGCACCACTGCGGTGGGCCCGGAAGTGGAGCAGAATGCGTGTACCAAAGAATGTACAAAGATTCCCTCGGCAATTTCGATGGCTACAGCAACTGGGCCATCTCGCAGCGGGGCATCGGCCCCAACGCAAACCCGAGCCTCGAGTGCGCGGCGTCCGACATGCAGCTCCCACCCGACGGCCTCGCTCGTGAGTATCAGATTTCCGACTTTACCGCCTGCGACTGTAAGATGCCGGACGGCTCACCGCTCACCGGCCAGTCGTTTGCTAACATCAACCCGCTCAACGCGAGCGAGGTCGAGAACGTCTTCGTTCGCATGCACGAACGCTCGCGCGTGTGTCCGGGGGCGCCCAAGTGGCAACTCACGGGGCCAACCGGCAAGGAGTACGATTTTCTGCAGTGGGTGGGCACGACGATGCTCGCACACGACATCGAGGCCTTCCGCAATGCGATCTGCGCGCCACGCATGCACATCGACGGCATTTCCTACGGCACTGCGGTCGCCTCGACCTATGCGACAATCTTCCCGGGCACCACTGGGCGAGTCGTGCTCAATGGCAATATGCCACCGGACGTCGACACAATGGAGTTTGGCACGACGAACGCAGGCGCCATGCAGCAGGCTGTCGCTTACCTGGGGAGGCTGTGTGCGACGGCAACGTACGCCCAGAACAGTTTTTGCGCGTGGTTGGCGGCGGAAGGCTCGTTCGGCGAGTACGACGGCGCTCGTGTGCTGTCGCGTTTCAAGGAGCTCAAGATCAGCGCGCCGACGAGAAGCGGCGAGCCCTTTTTCCTCACCCCCGGGCTACTGGGTGGCTACCTCCAGGAGAAAATGATCGAGGCTGGGTTCGTGCCAAAGGGATGGGCTCCCGTGCTCGAAGTCCTGCAAGCCCTCTTCCCGCTCGCTGCGGGCGGCGACACGGCCACGTCTCAGGCGGCCGAAATCTTCGATCACTACTGCCGCCTGCCTAAGATCGATCCGGAAGCGCCAATCTACACAGAGGCCGTTGCGACCTGGTCCGGCAAGCGAACCTGGTACGAGTACGGTGTGTGCATCGGCCCGCAGCAGGTGGGGCTGTCCGATTGGACGTGTCCCTATCCAAGACTGCTGGGTAATCCCACGTGGAGCCAGTGGGCATGCCGTCCGGAAGTGAACGGCTTCATGAACGAGGCTGCCGTGATCGGGCTCGATTATGATGGACGCTACACGGTCACCCAGGCCATGGGCACGTGGCAGGCCTTGGTGACGTCTTCAGGAGCAGACCGCGACGGAGGAAGTGAGCTCGCAGTCGGCGCTTTCGTGGGGATTACCGCCAACATCTTCGCCTGGGGCGAGCTCTCGACACCGTGCCCCGTCGCGTTTCGCGGCGACGTGAGCGCACTCATTGTGGGCAATCTTTACGACCCCGCGACGAGCTACACGTGGACGAAGCGAATGCGCCACGCCTTTCCGCACGCTGTGATGATGACATGGCAGGGCGTCGGCCATACGGCGTCGGCAGGGGGGAACTATCCCGACAGCGGCATCATGGGCTGCATCCGCCGCATCTCGGCCTACTGGAAGAACGGCACCCTGCCCGACGACGGCTACGTGTGTCACCAAACCGCCGCCGTGCCGCTTCAGCAGTCAGCAGTGCATGTCTGACAGCTAGAGCAGCAGCGTCAGGGTCGCAGGGTCGGATCGTGTCAAGCCTCTCGCCCGGCCGGCCGCGTGCAGACATCGGCCTGTATCTGCTGTCTTCTGTCTACGGCTATGGAGTGATCTGTCGGCAGTCAGTACGACCGATCAGGTCGGAGTTTTCTGATGATTGGAGGGTCTATCTCTGTATGTACTCCTCGAGATCTCTCCAAATCTGCCCTCTGATCAACCGTGATCATTTTATAATACCAAAAGAGGGCTAACAGAGAAAAACCGTTACGGAAAAGCATGCGCGACGCTGCCTCTTTGCACCGCTCGCTCGCGGCTGCGGGAGACATGGCCGCCGATGCGGCTCGCACTCGCTCGGCGGGCCTCCGTCCCACAGCCGCCCGGGCGTGCCACGGGTCTGCCTGGCGCTGCGCTGCTCGCACGCTGCACTGCACAAAGCTGCGACAACAAGGGGAGGCTCCTGAGCTTGAGCGTTGAGCAGTGCAGCTGCGGGCGCTCGTTGGCGGCTGTGCAGTGGTGAGAGTGCCTGATTGGAGGCGAGCTGGTGCTGCGCCAGGGTGCGCAGCATGCGCTCTTGCTCTGTGCTGAGGCATGCTGGCTGGCGCCCAACACAATGCCCTGGATGCATTGCTCCACGCCGTGCTGGCTGGTGCAGTACTGCCAGTGCGCCGACTGGCGCGCAGGGTGCGCGTCGCCGCGCGTGGCACGGGTGGCTCGAGAGGCGCGGCTGTCGTTCAACCCCGCGGCGCATGTGCGCCGCGGAAGCTTGTCGACAGGCTGCGGGCATCGCTGCGGCAGAAAGCGCCCGCCCTCTGCTTTGCTTTCGCCCGCGTTTTACGACAACTTTCGGCTTATCATAGCCGCCGAACTTTACCTCGCTGTTTCTTTATAGGCGTCTCGCAGCTGCGTATTCTCGTATTATCTTCGAGTAGTTGCGTGGGGGCGGTATGTATTCTCGTATCAGTAGTGAGTGTCGTGTCCACTAGCTCCGAGTAGAGGGTGCGTTCTGCAGTTAAGGGGAAACCCGGTACACGGAACCAACCCTCGGAGACCCGTGTTAGGCCCTGCGAACGCGCACCCCCGGGGCTGGGGCTCTCTAGCCCGTAACCCGATCCCGATCATCCGGCCCGCTGGGTGCGCTTCTTAGCTCCCCGGCCCTGGATGTGAGGCTGATAACTGCACTCCAAGTGCTCCAAGTGCTAACCGTGATCATTTTCGGGAAGTCGGTGCTAGCGGAGACTACACTATCAAACTATTAGCCTAATAACGTACCTTCCTAATTTTCAACACATACCTAATAATTAGCTTGTTATTAGGACTTTCGCGTTATTAGCCCGGGCGTGGCTAATAATCGTAGCTAATAACCCTCCACCGCGGGCGGGCTCGAGCCAGGGCTAATAACAAGCGCTAATAACAGGGCTAATAAGACGCGCCGACACAGCCGCATCCCCCAAGTCTAGTCCCCGCATGCCGCGCACGGGTGCTCTCGCTTGCGCGCCTGCCGGCTTAAGGGCGCCAATTGTGCATCGCGAGCAGACCTGGTTCAGACCCATATTACCGCTCGCATCCTCGCATGCACGGGTGCTGGAGCAGGCGGACATCGCTTCCAGGGAGGGGGGCGCACTTCTGCTCACACCACATGCTAGGGGGGGGGTCCGACCCCCCCCAGAGGCTTCACCACATGCTAGGGGGGGGGTCCCGACCCCCCCAGCACCTTTACCACATGCTAGGGGGGGGTCATGGCCGAGGACCCCCCCAGAGACTCGTGGTCAGGCCCTCCGGGCCCTTGATTTTACGCCTCATTTCGCAGCATTTTCGAGGGGAAAATCATCCTTTGGAGCTACATGAGCCTTGAGACTGGTCAGATTCCCCAAGATATTGGACTTTCAGCCACGATTTCACAACTTTGGGGGCAAAATCGGCTCTCTGGCGGCTATTCCTAGCCCACGAACTGCTGGGGGGTGCCCACCACATGCTAGGGGGGGGGGTCCGACCCCCCCAGAGGCTTCACCACATGCTAGGGGGGGGGGGTCCCGACCCCCCCAGAGGCTTCACCACATGCTAGGGGGGGGGTGGGGCGTGAGTAGAAGTGCGCCCCCCTCCCTGGAAGCCATGTCCGCCTGCTCATGTTGTCATGTGTGTACTTGTTACGTGAAAACCCGCTGGGGCCCGGATGCCAGCACACACGGCTAGATTTCATGGCGGGCCGCCTAGGCCCTGGGGTCGGAGGTAGAGTCGGTGGTGGTGCCGCGCGCGGCGCGGGCTTCGCTGTCGGGGGCGTCTAGGGCGGGGTCGGGGAAGGAGGGTGGGGTCGGTCGCATTGGCGGCCGCGCGGCGGTGGCTGCGGGGGGGGCGGGAGGAGGTGGTGGCGCCGACCGCAATGTGTCATGTACCCGTACAGACGCAGGAGTCGTCCGTCCTCCGGCTGTCCACTCGCGATGTCGCGCCGCACGCTCAAATTTGCCGATCCGGCTTCAGCTCTGTATCCGGAGCCGGCGGCGGCTGGGGCGAGGCCGCAGAAGCAGGGCACCAGGGCGAGGGCCCTGCCGCCCAGTCTCGACGCGCGCAACCTGCGATGCTACGCAGCTCGCTATCCCGATCTCGCGGCTGCACCGCAATACCACAATGGCAGCGCGGTCGGACGCCTTCGCCGCCACTGGCTCATTCACGGGAAGAAGGAGGGGCGCATCATGGGCTGCGAGCCAGGGCCCGGCCCGCTGACGCCCGAGCAGGCCGCGTGCTACCTCATGCGCTACCCCGACCTGTTGGCGTTGGTGGCAAAGGTTGGTGTCGACAACGCTTCGAGGGCCTCCTTCATGTACAACGACAGTCTCAACGAGCGGTTCGACCTGGTGCAGAAGCACTGGGCCTCCACCCTTGCGGCGGGCGACTACCTTCAACGGATGGGCACGCCGGGAGAATATCGCACGCACGCTTGCGAGGTTCACTCGCGAGGCGATGTGCAGCGCGCACTCGATTATCTCACACATGGCCAGTGCCCCGCCCCTCCAAGCGAACAGATTGTCGCTCGGCGCGCCAGCGCAGCGGCAGCGCGGCCGCCCATCCCGCGGCGCATCATGCAGACGGGGCGCAACTGTGCGGACCGGCCCGTCGCCGGCTGGCAGCTGCTCAACCCGGGATGGAGGCGCGGCCTCATCAGAGACGGAACTGGCAGGCACGCACACACGCGGACGGCCCGCATCGCAGGTACGACTTCATCGACGATGCTGCGGCGCGGCGTTTCCTCGGGGCGCGGCGGCCGTCCGCGCTGGAAGCGTTCAACGCGCTGCTGCCGGGCGCCTCCGCGGCGGTCCCCGCCCGCCGCCCGGCTCCACCCCTGCAGAAGACCGACCGTGACTAGGCGCCTTCAAGGCGGACGTGCTCCGCCTCGCGTGGCTCGCCGAGTTCGGAGGCGTCTACGCCGACGGCGGCCCGCCTTCCCCACGCAGCCAATCGAGCCTGGTGGTGTGCCGTGAGGCGGCACCTTCGCGCCTTCAGGCGACATGCTGCCGCTGCTACCGCTGGAGCGGCTGCTTCCCGCCGACGCGTCGCTCGTGCTGATCAAGGATCTGGGCGGGCGAATGGTGTACAACGCCTTCATGGCGGCGACGCCGCACCATCCGGCGGCCGTTCGTTTCTCCGCGCGAGGAGGAACGATTCGCCGTCGACCACCAGAGCCACGCTCATCCGTAGGCGATCGAGTTCCTCCTCGAGGACGTCCTCTCCACCATCAGCAGCCGTGAATACGGACCCGACTCGCTCTCCATCAGCGGGCGAGCCGGCGCACCCGCATTGTGCGGCGTCACACGATTGCGACGGGGCGTGCGCGTTGCCGCCATAGGCCCGCGGCGGTCGGCAACGCGATGATGCGCTTCTCGGGGTGCGGCGCGGGGGCCACCAGCGGGGGAAACCCGGCGAACGCGTCGAGGATAGAGGCTGCGAGCGGAGTGCACTACATGCAGCACGCACGTGCGTGCCAAGGGTTCCGGTGTGCACCGCTACTCTTCACGCCGCGGGAGCTGTGAACAGGCAGCACTTGCCGCTCCGGAGTCCCTTCAAGCCTTTCAACATCGAGGCGATGGGCGATTGCGACGCCGACGCCGGTCTCGCTATCCTGAGCAAGGTCCCGTCCTTCTGTTCCTCCTCTCGCGCGTAACGCCCCTCACCCCTCGGCTCCCCCCGTGCGTAGGTCTTCTCGGCTCGCAACACTTCCATGCCACCGACCGGCGGGCCGTATGTGCGCGCGTGGAAGGCGAGGCGGGTCTACGCGGACGCCTCGAAGCTGCCGCCACCGCCGACGTCGGCGACGCTCTGGTCAGACAGCGGGCCGCGAATTCGGTGCGCGTGGTTAAATGCCACCAAGAGGGAGAGGCGGGCGTGGCACCGGGGTGAGGCGCAGAGGGCCGCGGGAAGGGAGCGATTGATCGCGAGCCTGCAGCGGCACTGCGAGACGCGGCTGCGGACCATGGTGCCCTCGAGCTTGTGCGGCGACACGAGCGGCCTCTTTGACGCGAGAGGGGACGGCACCGGATCGGGGTGCTTGTCGTTTGCTCCGGAGGCATGAGCGTACGGTAGCGAGGAAAGTGAGCGTATGTGTGCTGTTGCTAAAGTGCTTAGCCCTCCCACATTCGCCCTCGGACCTCGCCCCAAATGCAGGATTAAAATAGCGGTATAGAGCAGATGTGGCGGTGTGAATTCTTTTATTCGCGGCGGTTTGCGACGGTGTATCAGTCGCCTTATGCCACCGTTGCATATCCTGTTATTCGTCGTGGCGGAGGCGTACCTCCCCCCACACCCCGCATGTCTACCCTTACCAAGCCTCCTCGAACGCCCACGTAAGCACGGTGGGGAGGCTCTGGTCGTACTGGCGAGGGTCGCAGTGGCACGCATTCCTCACCCACAAGTAGCGGTGATCATATCCTCTGCTGTGAAGGGCCGACGCCGTTTGGTTGTTTGCGTCTGCCCAGTCCGCGTAGGGGTTGCAAGTGTCGCCCACCCCGACGTATCCAAAGTTGCGGCCCGGGCGGTTGCCGTCCTTGATCGCCCCGTTCTCGCCCTCTCTGTCGCACAGGTTGGTCGGGTAGCCCGACACGCAACCGAAGCCGGGCGAGGGCATCCCCGTTCCTGGGGCATCATAGGGAGCGGTCCAGGTGCCGAGGTCATGCTGGGCACAGGAGTGAAACAGGCGGACGTCCCTCTTGGGGCCGGTCGCGATCAGTCCCTCCCCGGCCCAGAGGTCGGCCGCGCCGAGGGGAAAGCTTCCATTGCTGGCGAGGGCGGTGCTGGTCCAGGTTACCGTGGCCGAGAAGGCGACGCCCACGCCGACAACATCCGGCCTCATCAGCGCCTGGATGATCGCCTGGTCGCCGCCCGCGCTGCAGCCCATCAGAACCCTCCCCTTAGGGTCGCTGGTGAAGCGGAGGAGAGGGTAGTCGGCGATGACCTCGGGGTGCGACCGCACTCGCTTGAGCACCTCGTGCTGCAAGAATTCAGAGTAGAGGCCGCTCACGGTGTTCATCTCGATATCGCGGCCGTTTGCATTATTGGTGGTGATGTGAACTGTGTTGGGTGGCATACGGCCCGCTGCAATCAGCCGGTCGAGCATCACCGAGTTCAGCCAGAACCCCGGCTGTCCGGCAGCGGGACGGCCCATGCTTGGCCGATCGTCTGCGGGGGTGCACCCGACGCAGCCGCTTCCGACGTCGTCATCACCCGCGAATAGCACCGCCGCTGCTGCGCCATTCTCGTACGATGCTGGTATGTAAGCACGGACCATGCGCCTTGTGTCGGGTGTGCACTGCTCCTCCTCGCGCAGTGCCCAGACACCGGCGACGTCCCAGAACCATCGGCTGCAGTTATAGTAGACCGACTCGCGTAGCGGGTACGAGATGGTGTACGAGCGGCCGGTCGGCGTGTGAGTGTCCCAGTTCATCATGAGAGGGTCGACAAAGCCAGTCGCAGCGTCCGTCACGATGATGTCCATGCCGTTGTGCGGGTCGGGAAGCGGCTCGCCGTCGAAAGGCAGCAAGGTGTAGTAGTTTGCCGACCGAGTTCCTCGGTTTCGCCTCAGATTTTGCCCCAGACCAGCTCTCAGACTCAGGGAAACTCGAGAGTTGCCAGAATGGAGCACCAAACACCCTCTAGTTTCCCTGGAAATTTCCGGAAACGCAAAGTGCTGGGATACAGGCCAACGCCGGAATCGTGAACCGTGAACCGTGAACCAACTAGGCTAGCAGCGGCACCGCCAGCACCGTCCACCCCCAGCCCGTCAGAGGGGGTGGTGGCGGCTCCTCGAATAGGGACGGGCGGGGGAGGAGGGGCGCTGACCACGGGCGACTACGTGTCGGAGGTTCGACGACGACTACTCGTCGCCTGGGTCGTTTGGGGCGCGCGGCTCCGTCGAGGACCGGGCGCGCCCCCTACCCGGCGCGGCGTAGGTCCCACTCTGACGAAAAGAGGGGAGGCACGGTCGACGGCCCGATCCATCGACTACACTCATCTTCTGGTGCTTAGCCCCGTGCAACAGCGGTCCGGCAGGCTGCCCCCAAGGCCCCCCGGGCCGCTGCGGGTTGGGGAGTTATGCTTAGGCACAGCTTCGGCGATGGCAGCCCCTCTCTGGGGTGTTGCATAGGCGGGGAGTCTCCCCCGCTGGTCTCCTCCTTCCCATTTTTCTTTTTTTTTGAGAGCAGCACGCCGGGTTTGTCTTGTATGTGCGTGTCGGGCCGGGGTGTGAGCGAGGGGCAGAAGGGGCGGGGGCGTGCGGGGCGGAGGCCCAACGTCGGGCGGCCTGTCGGGGTCCGGAGAATTCGAGGCGGGAACGAGGAGGGGGGAATGGGCGGTCGGCGTCGGGGTAGAGCGGCAGGTGCGTACGGGGTAGGCTAGCCGTCACTCTCCTGCCTCAAAAGGGCGGGGCTGTCCCGGAAAGTGAGAGACGCCGGGCAGCGTGGCGCACAACTGAACCCTCCCATACGTGCTTGTGCTCCTCCTTTGCTGTCCCATCTCCTCATCTCTTTCCCGCCTGGGCGGGGCGGTGGGCGGGCGCGCGGTGCGGCATGGCGTGTGCGTGTGCGCGGCTGCAACGAAGGACCGCTCGCAAGGGACCATTGGGTTTGTACTCTTAACAACGAAGGCGCTCTCAAAAAAGAGAAAGCGAAGCCAAAAAACGATTGCGTAAACGGCGTCACAAAGCCCGCCGGTTTTGATCGACACTCGTGAGATTGACCGCCGTCGACCAGAGAATTGACGGCAGCATGCAAACGATGTGCCAGTCTGCACGGCGCTCGCGCCGCGCCGGCTGGCTCATCGAGCGCGCTCTCTGGCGCCGTCCGGGCCACGCGCGGCGCCGCGCGTGCCGCGCGCCACTCGCCTCGGCTGGCAGTACAGCGCCAAAGCCGCCTCGCCAACACCGCGCACACCACCAGCAGGCTGCTCACCAGGCAGCAGAGTGCTGCACCGGCGTGCAGCGGACGCTGCGGCGCTGCGGCGCCGCCTCCCCGCCCTGTCCACGGAGCAGGCGAGCGGCGGCACGGCCTTCCACCAGCTGCAGGAGGTGCGCACTTCCCAAAGGAAGCACAGGATGCTCCCTCAGCACACGCAGCTTTGCGCAGCGCAGCGCACGGGCCACGCCACGCAAAGCCGACCCTCAGTCTGCCCGAGAGGCTGTCTGAGGAAGGCCTGGCAAGCGCGTACTCGCCTCCTCCGCGGCCATGCCCTCCGCCTCGCATTATTTCTTTTTCGAGCCTGTCTGCTGTGAGAGAGAGTTGTTGTTTAAATTCTTTTTTGGTACAAGCAGAGGTGCCAGAGGTCCCCATCCATGCTCTTACCGCAGAGCGCCGCTCCCTCGCTGGTCCTCTCCCTCGCCCTCCTGTCCGCGCCGGCGACGCCTCCGCCAGACCTCGCACAGCCTCCTCTCCTCGCCTCGGCTCCTCTCTCGCGCGCTGCGCCGCGGCCAGCGGTGGCGGCGGCCTCTCTTCTCGTTGCCGCCGACGCCGCAGCGGCGCCGGCCGAGGCGGTTCCGGCCGAGGCGGTTCCGGCCAGGGCGCTGCAGGCGGCGCTGGGGCGCGCACGCGCCGCGTCGCAGTCCGCGGCGGAGCAGGCCTCCGCCGCCGCCGGCCCGGCGCTGCAGCGGGCAGCGGCCGAGGCGGCGCCGGTGCTGCAAAAGGCGGCGGCCGAGGGGCAAGCGGCGGCGGGGGCGGCGGTGAGCGCGACGGCGGCGTGGGCGGAGCGCACCGTCACCACGTCGACCCCCGTGCTCAACAAGGCCGCCGCCGACGCCAAGGCGGCGGCCGAGGCGGCGGCGGCCGAGGCGGTCACGGCGGCGGCTGCGGCGGTCTCCGAGTCGGCTCCTGTCGTTCAGCGGGCGGCGGCGGAGGCGGCGGCGGCGGCGGAGCTGGCGGCGGCGGAGAGCGCGTCGGCCGCCGCCTCGGCCGCCTCGGACGCCGCGCGCGCTGCCGTCGCTGCCTTCGTGGACACGGCTTGTGTGGCTGGCCGCGCAGCGCGGAGGTCTGGACTCGGACGGATGCGGGATGACTGCTGCTAGGCTGTGGCTTCGTCAGCGCTGAGCGCCGAGGAGGTTGAGGCGGCGGCGGCGGCGGCGGCGACGGCGCAGCAGGCGGCGCAGACTGCGGTGGCGGACGCTGCCCCCGTGGCTGCCAAGACGTTGGTCCTGCTGAAGCGCGCGGCGGCGGCGGCGGAGAGTGCCGGCGCAGCGGTCGAGGAGTACACTGCCGCCGCGCTCCCGCTCTCGGCAGAGGTGGGCGGGCGGGTGGGAGGGTCTGCGAGCTGTGAGGGGCGTCTGTTCACACAGCGTGCGCCGTCAGCAGGTCGGCGCGCGTGTCGGAGAGTCTGCGAGGACCGCTGCAGCCCGCGCCGCCGCCGCCGCCGCCCCTCGGCTCGAGGCTGCGGGCGGCCAGCTGGCGGCGGCCGCGCGGGAGCTGGCGGCGGCGGCGGCGGCCGAGGTGGACACACACGTTGCGCCCGCGATAGAGGCTGCGCTCAAGCAGGGCGCAGAGGAGGTGCAGCGGGCTGCGGGCCTTGCTGGGCGGACAACCTCTTCACACCAACCGGCTGTGAACAGGTGCAGCGGGCGGCTGCGCAGGCGGTGCCTCGCTGACGACTGGCCGTGCCTTGATGGCGGACCCGCGGCGCCGCCAGCACGCCGGCACGCCGGGTTGCTTCTTCTTCTCCTCCGCCTTGAGGTGCCTTCGACGCTGCTTCCTGCCTCCCTGCGCCACGACGACGGAACCACCGTGCTCTGCGACCTCACCCTAGCCGTCTTGCACCCCCCCCCCCCCCCCTTCTTCTAGCTAGTGCCATGGACGCACACTGTCGCAGAGCTGCCTTGCATGCCGCCCGGTGGGGCTTGCCACATGCCAGCCGAGACGGTGGCAGTCTTCATATAATGTACGATGACGGTACGGTCTACAGCACACAAAACGAAAGCTCACTTGTCACTTCTGGAGTGCTCCACGCGGCGCGATCTGCGAACTCTCCGGTCGCGGGCGTGACTGTTTTGGGGGGAAATTTTGGTGACGGCGTATCTCTCGCGTCCTCACGGGTGACTGTTTCGTCCCCCCGGTCTCACTTGCTTGATTTTGTCCGTCTCTCTGCGTCTCTCCAAGCGTCTCTCTGCTGTCACAGTTCTCTAGCGTCTATCTGCTGTCAAGTGCTGAGCGTGTCAGTGTCGCAGGTGCGTCTCACTCTCAGATGCGTCTCACATTCGTGTCTGTCTCTTTCGGCTGCGTATCACTCAGTCTCACGGCTGGGCTGAGACGTCATAGTCCTGCTGAGCGAAGTGAGTCGTCTCACTTCCCTCTGAGCCAGTGCTGAGCCATAATGAGACGCGGCGCAGGGCGGGGGGTTTGAGACGCCACAAGCCGCTGCTTGATTGAGTCGTCTGACTCAGGTCCGTTGAGACCATGCTAGAGACGCAAAATTATGGCGATTGAGGAGACTCAACTCAGGCTGTGTCTGAGGTGCGGCCTGGCGGGTCTCGGTGAGTGTAGACGAGCCCTAAGCATAATCGCGCTCTATGGCTCAAACGGCGCGTAGCCGCCAGTTGCTCTTATCGTGCTCTCAGACGCAAAAGGCGCGTAGCCGGTTGCTCTCGCTTAGGCGTATCCGGGGGCGGACAGCACGGAACCGATTTTTATTTGGCGCAGACCCCTCCTTCCTGAGTCACCAGAAAATCCCAACGATCCTTGAGCGGAGGCCGCCTTGGCCACTTTTCCGGCCTCTCCGGAGAATCTGGGAGAATGGCTACCATAGCCTAGCATGGCACCCGCGGGCAAAGCTGCCCCCAGGTTCCTAGAGCCCATGGGCATTCCCAAAGGATATGTCAGCGTGAGGTGAGGGCGCAACGGTGGGGGCTCTCACCAGCCCCTCAAAGTCGGGCCTCTCGGGCGGCGGTCAGAGGGGCGGGCAAGGGCACGTGGGAGAAGGGTCAGTGCGGCCCACAAGGTGTGAGCTACCCCCTCTCCTAGGTGTGACTCTACAGCCCCTGAGGCCCTCTGGGCTGGGCACCATCAGCTTGGGCAGAGGTCCTCGGGGTGGGGAGAGAGGGAGCTCCCCTTTTCAGGCTCCCCCCAACCGGCGCATTAACTCGCACCCCAGTGTACCACATGGGAACACGTGATCCACACAAAGCCCCAAAGTAGGCATACCCCCCGGCGCAGTGTCTCCCGCTATGTGTCGCCGTTCGTCGGCCGGGTGCCGGGGCACGCTATCCTGTGCAGTCCCAGGCCGTGAGTCAGGACAAGTGGGGGCGGCCGGGGCGGAGAGTGGGCCCAGGAGCGTGCTCCTGGGACCTCTCGTCTAACTTCCCAGTCCGGCGGTTGCGTCGACCCTTCCATCACCCTGTCGGAAGAGGGGCGTGCCGGTGGATGCACCTTGCACGTCCGGGGGGGTCCTGGAGATAATTTTTCACCTCACCCCGGCCCTCAATCGACGGTCGGAGTGTCACAGCGTGAGAGGGGAAATGCAACTCGTAGACAGACCGGGCCTTTTAAGCTGGGGGGGGGGGGGGGCTGCAACCTCCCCAAGCTCGCAGGTGTCAAGCTCGCAGGTGCCGTCGGGGATCGGGTGCCCCCCCCCCCCCCCCTTTCCTACCCCCAAAGTACCATGACTCGTCGAGCCAAAACGGCCGGAAGAGCCAAAACGCCGCGGGAGCAGCCTCCGAGGACCCGGCGGAGAGCGGCCAAGCAGCGAGGAAGCAAAGGGGGAGAAAGGTGAGGGGGATATAGCCTCAGAGGGGTGAGAGGCGCCGCGGCGCTCACTCGGCGGCGGCGGCGGCGGCGGCCGCGCTCTCGGCAGGCCTCCCCCCTGCGCCGCCGCCCATGCGGCGCATGTATTCTTCGTGGTACTTTTGGCTGGCGGCGTCGCGCTTGACGTTGAAGTCCTCGAGCTGCCTACGCAATGTGGGCCGTCGGTTCAAAGGGGCGAGGAGCTCTTCATGACGGGACGTTGACGCCGACGAGAGCTGCCTATTAAATAGTGATTAAGTAATTAGGAACTGCTCAATTAGCGCGTCGACGGCGACGAGAGCTGCTTGAAGTTGCGGCGCGAGTTGATGAACTCCTGCAGCGCGGGCGGGTACTTGAGTAGTGAAGAAGAATGAATGTGATTAGTGAACAAGAATTAATTAGTTCATGAATGGTTGAGGTGTCGAAGGCCTGCAGCGCGGGCGGGTACTGGCCGACGCAGTACCACGAGCCGGGCGCATCGCACACGCGGTTCGCCGGGTCGGCCGCCCACAGCTTCGACTTGAGCGAGACGCGCTTCACTTTGTAGATGCGGACCTGCCATCAGGTCACTCCATGAGTGTCAACAGTACCTTTACCTGGTGTTGAGGCTGCACTGTGTAGATGCGGACATGTCATGCTATGTTCTCCTCCTCGACAGCGACTGTAGACGCGACCCTCATCACTGTGTGGATGCGACCTTGCCATGCTTGGAGGAGATACGGGGAGATACGGGGAGATATGCGGCCTCGCCGTGCTTGGAGTAGGCGTGCTAATTAATCAGTTCATCAGTGGGTACTAATGAATTCATCACCGTGCCGTGCTTGGAGGAGCAGGCGTTATGAGCTAATTGGTTCTGACTCCAAGACTAATGAATTCCTCGCCTTGCCGTGCTTGGAGGAGTAGGCGTGCTCAAAGTACGACGAGTTGACGGCGACGCCTCGCTGCCCGTTGAGCACGAGCTTGTACAGCAGCGACTTCTCCATCATCGGTGTCGGCGAGCGGTCGCGGTAGAAACCTGCCGTGAGAGAAGACACCACCCTCGGGGCGGGAATGCGGCGTTGTGCAGTGTACTCAGAGCGCTGCGTGTCATCTGAATACGGCGGAGTCCGTGTCCTCTCCAGTGCCGGCCGGAGGGCAAGAGTGCGCATTCCGCTTCTTGGGGCAGAAACCAAAGTTGCTGCAGGTGGGGTCGTTGCCGCAGTGGCCGTGGAAGACCGAATTGCCTAGAGAAAAAGGAGTGCGTGACGAAAAAGAAACGCCTGGCGGCGGCCGTGGAAGACCGAGTTGCCTAGAGAAAGAAGAACTGCGTGGCGCAAAAGAAACAGACTCCGACCGGCCGTGGAAGGCCGCGGTGCCGATCCGCGCCAGGTGCGGCGACTTTGCTAGGTCGTCGCCTCCGCCGCCCGCCCAGACGAGCACGTAGTCGGCGAGGTGGCGCGCGTACGAGTGCGCCTCCTCTTGCGGCGCCGTGAGGATCCGTCCGAGCGTCGCGATGTGCTCGTGGTTCCACGTGTTCCCGTCGGCGACCGAGGTGCGATTGGCGATGCCGGTGATCTGGTAGCCGTAGTCCCACCAGGCCATCACGCGCGCGTCCTCCGGCGTCTTGTCGCGCAGCCACCAGTACGCCTGCGGCAGTAGTCCACTCATGATTAGCGAGGAGCGCATCAGTGACGAGGAGTCACCACCGGAGTGCCGACAACAGTGTGCAGCACAGACCTCGTCTAAGATGCGACATGCAAACGACGATAGGTAGTGCGCTGCTGCTACTACTACTACCAGCCAGGCCTCGCGGTAGTCGTCCACCATCACCGTCTGCCCGTTCGAGTACGTCGCTTTGAACATGATCTGCGGCCGCGACGACCCCTCCGCCATACGGTGGCAGTAGGCCTGCGTTGCGAGACAGCCAGCATGAGGGCGTGATCACGGCGGAGTACAGCTGAGTCTGTGTCCTCTCGAGCGCTGGTTGAGAGACAAAGAGCACGTGCCCCGCTCTTCTACCGCCGGCGTGGAAGTCGTAGTTGCGGGGGGGGGGGGGGGGGGAGTATCGGGAGATACGGGGGGAGGTACGTGGAGATGTTTCCGCTTCTAGGGCAGCAAACGTGGAAGTCGTAGTATGCGTAGATTGTCGCGAGGGCCAGAGCGAGCCCCATACACAGCCGCGTCTTGACGCCGCCCGGAGAATCGGCCACCTACACCAGCCCGTGCGTGCACCGTTGCGCAAGAGGGTACTCTCCATCCTCCTCCGCGCCGGGAACGTCCGCCACCGCCATCACCGCCGCCGCCGCCTCCTCCCTCGCCGCGGCGACCCCGCCGAACGGGTTGGTCTCTGCGCGGCGGCTCTCCGCGCGCCGCGCCTACAGCGCGAGCTGCCGAGTCCCATGCCTCCAGAGTATCGAATCCAGTGTGGGTTTAGTCCCGTGAGTGGTGCGGTACTGCCGCGCCTTACGTGCGACCATCCATCAATTAACTAATCATTATGGACTAATGACTGGTTCTCCGCGCGCTGCGCCGACAGCGCGCCCACGCCATTCGCCTCCCTTGCACCCCCAGTGCTGCTTTCCTGAGGACTGCCGTCGCTCTGGGCTGCGGCGGGCGTGTGTGTGCGTCTGAATACGGCGTAGCACGTGTCCGCTCGAGCCTTGGGTGGTGGGTAGGAGAGAGCGCTCTTCCGCCTCTAAGGCGGTGCGCCCTTGGGGAGGTATGGGGAGATATGGGGAGATATGGGGAGATATGGGGAGATATGGGGAGATACGGGGAGACGTTCCGCCTCTAAGTCGGTCCTCTATGGCGGTGCGCCCCTGCCCATATCTCCCCATATCTCCCCGTATCTCCCCATATCTCCGCCTCTAAGGCGGTGCGCCTCTGTCAATATCCCCATCTCTCCCCTCTCTCCGCCTCTATGGCGGTGTGCGCCTTTGCCGCCGCCGCAAGCTGCGACGGCTTGGGCTTGCTCTTCAGCAGGCCTGCACCGCCGTTGCCTCCCTGTGGCGCGTCCTTAAGCGCCTCCTTTGGCTCTTCCCTTGCAGCCACGTCGAGGGCGGGGCCGGGGCTCTTCTTCCCGCCGGGCTCCTCCTCCTCCGCCGCGTAGCCGAGCAGCCGCAGCAGCGCGTCGACAATCAGAAAGTCAAAGCCGAAGCCGAGGGCGACGCCGCCGAAGGCGGAGGCCGGCGGGCCGAGGAGGATGACGAGGCGCGCCTGTGGGAGTGTGGCATCTTCGTGTGAATGCGGAGTGTTAAGGGGAGGGTGGGTGGGTGGGTGGGTGGGGGGAGCGTTCAGGGGGGGGGGGGGGGTGTTAAGGGGGGGGGGGAGGGGGCAGGGGCGGAGGGGGGCGGACGAAGGCGGCACCATCTTCGAGGCGAAGAAGTAGGCGATGGCGCCGTAGAGGAGCAGGAACGTGTTCGCGTCGGTGAGTCGGAGGAGAGAGAGGGCGAAGCCGCAGGGGACCAGCGGGTAGACCTGCGACAGGAAGTCGTTCCGCCTTAGTGATTCGTTGACTCATTCGCCGCAGAAGAACGAGCGGGGAGACCTACGATCAAGACGACTCCGCCTCACCGCCGACTGAGCGACGGGCGGACCGCCAGCGGATTTGAGGGGAGGGGCGGGTAGACGTTTTGCAGGTACTGCCGGTACATCATCGTCGAGCCCGGCTGGTGCTCCGCCACCGAGTCGACCTTAGGGAGTGAACAGTCAGACACGAGTGAGGTGCCGGCGAGGAACGGCTCTGCTGCTCCGCCACGGAGCGGGTACCAGCGGGTTGCCCGTGCGCGTGTGCTTGAGGAAGAGGCCGCGCACACGCGACGAGAGCGGGCCGAAGTAGCCGGTCGGGAGGATGGCGGCGGTGGCCACAACGAGCAGAGCAGCGGCGGGCATCGCCAGCTGCACCCGCCGCTTCCACACCTGAGAGGCAAGGGTGTGGCATTTGTGAGGAACGAGTACGACTACCATCACACCTGGGCGGGCGTGAGGTCTGGGGAGGTGTGGGGAGGTGTGGGGAGGTGTGGGGAGAGATGGGGAGGTCACGCATGGGCGGGGGTGAGGTGTGGGGAGGATTGGGGAGGTCTGGGGAGATATGGGGAGGTCACACCTGGGCGGGGGGTAGGTCTGGGGAGGTGTGGGGAGATATGGGGAGATCACACCTGGGCGGGCGTGAGGTCTGGGGAGGTGTGGGGAGGTGTGGGGAGATATGGGGAGGTCACACCTGGGCGGGCGTGAGGTCTGGGGAGGTGTGGGGAGGTGTGGGGAGATATGGGGAGGTCACACCTGGGCGGGCGTGAGGTCTGGGGAGGTGTGGGGAGGTGTGGGGAGATATGGGGAGGTCACACCTGGGCGGGCGTGAGGTCTGGGGAGGTGTGGGGAGGTGTGGGGAGATATGGGGAGGTCACACCTGGGCGGGCGTGAGGTCTGGGGAGGTGTGGGGAGGTGTGGGGAGATATGGGGAGGTCACACCTGGGCGGGCGTGAGGTCTGGGGAGGTGTGGGGAGGTGTGGGGAGGTGTGGGGAGGTCACACCTGGGCGGGCGTGAGGTCTGGGGAGGTGTGGGGAGGTGTGGGGAGATATGGGGAGGTCACACCTGGGCGGGCGTGAGGTCTGGGGAGGTGTGGGGAGGTGTGGGGAGATATGGGGAGGTCACACCTGGGCGGGCGTGAGGTCTGGGGAGGTGTGGGGAGGTGTGGGGAGGTGTGGGGAGGTCACACCTGGGCGGGCGTGAGGTCTGGGGAGGTGTGGGGAGGTGTGGGGAGAGATGGGGAGGTCACACCTGGGCGGGCGTGAGGTGTGGGGAGGTGTGGGGAGGTGTGGGGAGAGATGGGGAGGTCACACCTGGGCGGGCGTGAGGTCTGGGGAGGTCTGGGGAGGTGTGGGGAGATATGGGGAGGTCACACCTGGGCGGGGGTGAGGCGCTTCTTGCGCCTCTCGACCTCGACGGCCTCGAGCAGCTGCACGCCTAATCTCGGGCAATCTCGGGTAATCTCGGGCAATCTCGGGCAATCTCGGGCAATCTCGGGCAATCTCGGGTGATCTCGCCCAGGAAGACGAGGAGCGGCAGCATCTGCTCGAGCGACCGCAGCGGCGCGAGCCTGCAGTGTGTGTGCAGCGAGTGGTCACACGGCGGCGGTGGTTGTGGTGGTGGTGGTGCGGCCCGGCTGCCTGTCTGCTCTCGACTGGCTTGTGTGCAGTGGTCTTGGGCTGCGCCTCTGTTTGAGGGTGAGGGTCGGGTTAGGGTGTGAGGCTCAGGCTGCCTCTCTGTTCTCGACTGGCGCGAGACGGTCTTGGCCCGCCTTGCCTGGGGATGCCCGTGTTGCGTGCCAGACTGCCACCGTGCGATGTCGGAGCCCGGGGCTGGGCCGGGGTTGTGTGTGTATGTGGCGAGGACACGCGCCCGTCCGGGGATGTGCAATGTGTGTACTTGGACACGCTGTGAGCACGAGGACGGGTCAATACAGCCGAGGGCAGCGGAAGGCGGCCGAATGCCGCCGGGGGCGACTCCGCTCGAGCGCGGCTTGGAGGACAGCAAATGCGGCGTCCGCGTCTAGCGGCGCGAGAGATCTGGGGAGATACGGGGAGATCTGGGGAGATCTGGGGAGATCTGGGGAGATGTTCCGCGTCTAGCGGCGCGTGCCCGACCGGAGGCACCCGAGTGGCGCCCGCAGTGCCGATGACGTAGAAAAGCGAGTAGGCGCGGTGGAGCTTGGAGGAGTAGCGGCCGCCTGATTAGTGAGTGAGTGGGTGAATTCGTAGTCCCGCATTCGTTCATTAGTCAGCAGCTTGGAGCAGCAGCGGCCGCCTAGTTGATTCGCAGCTCCTCACTCAATCGATGACCAGCCGCGTGTAGCTTGGGAGGAGCAGAGGCCCGCCAGCGGCGAGAGCGGCGGCGTGCGCCCCAATCCTAGAAGCAGAACACGCCAACCTCAGGGCGGGGGGACGGTGCTGTGCAGCGTCTTCAGAGCACCGCGTGAGTACGGCGGAATACGGGTGAGTGCAGCGGAATACGTGGTCCTCTCGGGCGCTGGTTGGGAGACAAGGACACGTCTTCTGCTTCTAGGGCCCAATCATGTTGACCACAAACACGTACCCGCCCCACGCCGAAACCTAGCAGTAATAATAGGTACTAAATACTCATACAGTCTATTTATGATTAGGACCCGCGCCACGCCGAAACCTACGCAGCCGTGAGACGGACTTGTTAGCCAGCCGGCCACAAGAGGCACGCGCACCCTCCCTCCCCACGCCGCCACCATGTAGACGTAGGCGAGGCCGCACACGACGCCGAACGCGTAGCTGTCCGCAGTCGCCTCGCCGTCGCGTGCGGTCGGCCGGTCCCGCAGCGCGCGCACCCAGCAGTAGAAGGTTGCGACGAGGGCGGTGGTGGCGACGGACTCGTTGTCGAATCCACCTGAGGACTGGTGACGACTCGTTGACAGCGGACAGCTGCGGTGGTCGCGACTCGGTCGTCTAGTCCGCCTGTGAGGCGTTGAGGGAACGAACCCCTTAGCAGCTTGCGCTGGTCGGGTCGCGACGCGACGGTCTAGCCCGCCCGCGACGGAGCGCATGATGTGCGCTGGCACGATGGCCATGATGAGGGCGGCGAAAGCGCCGGCGCTCTTGCGGCCAGAGCACTCCGCCGCGAAGAGCCCGACCAGAATCGAGGCGGAGACGCCGAACCACGCAGGCACCAGGCAGCAGACCTAGAAGAAGAAATCGCGGGGGTGCTCCGCCGTGAGTTTCTTTTTTAGGGCCGAACCACGCAGAGACGAGGCAGCAGACGTCGTTCAGCGAGATGGCGGAGCCGAGCTTGCCGAGCGCGCGCCAGATGGCGACGGCGGTGATCTGCATGCCTGGGTAGATCGTCGTGCCGACGGGGCGCCCGAGGGGGTACCACGACATGTAGTCGAACCAGTGGAAGAAGGCGTGCCAGCCGTTGGCGGCGAGGTACTCGGTCGCGCGATAGTTGAACCACGGGTCAAACTCGTGGATGACATAGCCGTAGTCGCGGATGGCGTACATGCGGATGTCGTAGGCCTGCTGCGCCACCACGCCCATCGCGGCGATGAAGACGCACAGCCCAGCGGTCGCCTTGGCGCCGGCCGGCAGCCGCTTCGTCGGCGGCGGCGCGGCGTGCGTGGGCGCGGCGGCGGAGCCGCCTTTGGGCTTTGCCATCGCTCTGCAGGCGGGAGGGCGGCGGCGGTGAGCGTGCGGGCAGGGCTCTGCTGGCAGAGAGCGGCGGCGGTGGAGAGCGCTTGATGCGGGCACCACGATGAGTCAGAGGCTGGGAAAAGAAACGAGGATGCATTGACGCAAGGAAATGTACAAAGGACGGCTAGCGCATCACACACCTCTCCTTAAAATCCCTGTGTGGTGGCGGCGTGCCGTCCTCCCATCCCTCCCTTGGGTTGTATGTTTTGTAGCGTGGTCGCTTCACGATCAATCTTGAGTCTGAGAAGCCAGAAGGGAACAAAGAAAGACCGCCCCCTGTGGCTGGCCCGGCGAATGACGTCTGGACTGCACTGCACGTGACTTAAACTCACGCGACTCGAACACGCGACAACACGCAAAGCCAAAAAAGACGGTTATAGCAAAGGGGAACTCAGCCCTCTACAAGCTCGGAGGCGGACATGGTACGCACATATCTCACCCACTCTGGGACCATCAATCTGAAGGGAAAGACCCCGGCGTGCGGCTCGAGGGCGGCCCGGCGCGTTGACGTCTGGGCTGCACTGCACGTGACTTAAATCCCCAGCCACAGCTCGTCCAGGAGGCGCGCTGAGAGTGGCAGAGCGCTCATGCCCTTTGCCGATGTTCGCCGCCGCCACGTCAGGTTGTTTTGGGTTGCTGTAACTGAGGTGTGCAGTCGGCTCCATCTCGATGAGCATGCCCCACGCCGAGCGAAGGGTCTTGACGAGTCGTTTGAGCAGGTATTTGTGTCTTGTCGCGTGCTTCGCACGCGGGTTGACCATTGCGGCATCGCGCCGAGTTCTTCGTGCGGCTTGCCGTTTGGCGCCTTCTTGCCCGCCTCCACCGCCTGGCAGGCAACATCGAGCGGGAGGCCGAGGCGGCGCTGAACTGTAATGCGCATCGCCCACGTCTCCATCTTCATATCATCCCGCATGCATGGGATCGCATTCAATAAGGCGCCAGACTACGACGAACCGAATCGCCTCGCGCCAGCACTTGTGGTTCTTGCACCTGCCCGTCTTGTAGCGGCCGCCCCGCCGGGATGCCTCGCTGACGAAGGCTTCGGCGAGGGCGAGCCAGTTGCAATGGTGTACGCCGGAGGTGTCCCGTGAGGAGAGTTGCCGTGAAGAGACGAAGTCTGCACGCTACAAGGCCGCCAGCGGCTTCGAGACAGCGCGCAGCGCGCGCCACCGCCGGCCGTCACACCCGCGCGCGCTCTCTCGCTGCGGAGGGGGCGGGAGGCGGCCGCGCAGGGCAGCAGCATGGCACCGGACCTGATGGAGACGGAAGACTGTGAGCGCAGCGCCCACCTCTGCGCAGCCCGGGAGAGACGCTGCACTGTCCCCTGTGCGCCGCCAGAGCGCCGCTCGGAATGCCTTGCGCTGCTCGCCGCTGGCCCGCAGCCAGCGCCGCGCCAGCGACGCGCTCCGCTTCCCAAGGCACGGCTCTGAGGGCCAGCGCGCGCGGCGCGCAGGTTGCCCGCTTTGCATGGAGGACCTCGACATCACCGAGCGCAACTTTTGGCCTTGCAAGTGTGGGTACCAGATCTGCCTGTTTTGCTACCGGCACATCAAGGAGGACCTGAACGGCCTTTGCCCGGCCTGTCGCACGCCCTATGACGACGCCAACGTCAAACTCGTGACGCCGGACCCGCAAGAGTGAGCGCCTCCACCTCCGCGCCCGCCGCAGCGGTCGCTCGCTCCCACGCTCCCGCCCCTCCGTTAGGATGAAGAAGATGCAGGCGGAGAAGAAGGCGCGCGAGGCCAAGGAGCGCAAGGAGCAGGCCGCACGCGAGGCCAAGGCGCGTTGGACACCTCCGAGACGGCTCCCCACCCTCGCTGCGCCCGCCCGCGGCCAGTATCAGCCTCGCCACGCACTCCCCCCCCCCCCTGCGGTTGAACGCCTCCCTCGCCTCCGCCTCGGAGTAGTCGTCGTACCTGTCCTATTAATAACTAATGATGATCTATTCATTAGTACTCGCCTCGGTGTAGTCGCCTCGCCTGGTCGGGGTCAGTGCCGTAACGCCTCGTCTGTATCTCTGCACTCCTCTTGGT